CACACAGCCTTTCCATAATTTAAAATCATAGTTCTCATTTAACAGTGTGAATAATTATGTAGTTCCTTTATTTCATGTTCAGTTGTATTTCCTGAGAAACCAGCAAAATCTGGCTCTAAAATCCTTTCTATTTTTCATTATTTTTGGTCACATTAACAATATATACTGAAAAAATTAAATAAACACTCAGTTTGTATAACTTGCTTTTGACATAAATCATAAGCATACAGAGCTTGAAGCAGGGTCCATCACAGAGCCTATCTCCAGTCTCTTGCACAGTGAACAAACCGCTGAGAGGGAGGAGGGGCCCAGAGGGTCAGAGAGGCACGGGCATGCTCTCTGCCTCCCCAAAATTGGTTTGGCTTGTCCAAATGCAGTCTAGCTACTTTGCCACTGACAGCATTTACATTTAATTATCTTTACTCAACCAGTTAGTTACAAAACCCACTAATATACTATCAAGAAGTCTGTTTAAAGAAAATAATAAGACTGGATGCTAATTCCAGTCACCATACAAGCCTATATATTTGCCTTCTGTACATGTTCACTGGAGAATAAAACTTACTAAATAATAAATGATCCAAACAATATAACAAACACACGAACAGCAGCTTTGAGGGAGTGCATGCACATGCACAGCTCCGGAAGTCCCACATCAGTATCATGACATGACAAAATCTATGCCAGAGCTTTAGATATGAAATATGCAGTGAAAGGAACCTGCTAACACAAGCCTCTACCTTTTCACTGACATCATAAAAGAGCTACTTTATGGATATATATCTGGTTAAGGTACAAAGACTTGCAATTTTTGTAGTTTTGATCAGTGCATCATATCTTTTCTTTCTCTTAAATGTTCTCAGATCAAAAAATCTGCTACCACAGATGAATACTGGGCAAATAGAAAGTATAATTTATAACGCACATTCCCGATGAAGATTGGATTTGATTTGCTGAAGTATAGTCAAACATTCTGAGTACAGAGGCATGGCATAACAGTTTTATTTAGCATGCATTTGAGGTAACTAACATAATTTATTAATGGAGGAAAGACAAGATTTGTAATGTTAGAACTTTTCCTGGAATTAGTGTACTTCAGAAAGAAGAGACAGTAAAAAAGCAGTTTATCATGTTATGAAGCAGACTGTTCTACTGTTGGACACTATTACTGAAATGGCCCATAAATTACATGGCTGTAGTAAGTTACAGTAGAGAAATGTTAACAGAATTTGTTTAGTGTAATCTTTGATCTCATATCTCACTTCTGACTTTACCATTCTTTAGGGATAATACTTTTATTAATGAATGACAAAGTCACACATAAGCTCAATCTAAAATGCAATGTAAGATATGTTTTTCAACGCATTAACAATTTTGTGCTAGCCTCATCTTTTACAGAAAAATACTGTAAAACATCTTAAAGAGCTTTTAAAAATGTGAATTGGTAAGATGACAATTTAACTTTTTACACAACAAAAAGGACACATTCACATTATGGAATGTACCATTCCATACATCTATGAGAGGGAGCTGAAGAAAGAATATTTGAGGGACTACGTATTTGGGAGTAAGAACAAAAACTCATTGGATTGTATTTTCCAAGATATAGTTTTAGCTGGTGCACGCGTTTTAAATCACAGTAAAAGCTGCTCAAGTGTGAAATGCTAGAAATAGTCCTGATCATGCGGAAATTAATGGTACAAGACAATTCCATTGATCATAAGACTTCACAATTGATGATATGGGTAAGATATGATATTTATGCTCATTTGTAGCTCTTATTAAAAAAAAAAAAACAAAAAACCCAAACAACAAACCAAACCAAAACAACAGAACAAACACAGAAAATCTACTGTAAAATGTGTCAATTTTGCAAAGTTCTGAAGTCACAAAATGTAAATCTAATTTACTGTCAAAAGAATGGAACATTTCTCAGGAAAACAACTGAATACTTTTTAGTATGAGGAATACAACACATTGTAAGTCCACTCTTAAAAGTGTTTAGATGATTTCAAGCATCCAAAGTCTCTTGCTGAGGCACAGCCCTACCAGATGCAATGACCTGGACTGTGAGCTACTAGACTCACAGAAAACACAAATCCTGGTCAGCATTTCACGCAATCAATATCCAAAATCTGATCCAAAATTTTCCTGCCTTCAGCACCTTTAATTATTCTTCTCCCTTCTAGAAGGTGTCAAGTCAGAAGATTATTTATTGAAAGACCTGTGAAATATTTTCTCATCAGATAATGTTTGTGATGCTGTGGGTTCCTTTTTAGGCTGCAACATGGAGTCACAAGCCTTTTTGCCTACTGATTCTGCTGATAATTATTTTTTATACATTTGACTAAACATAAAAAGATCAATGAAAATGTATTTGTTCTTGCAGTGGCATCTCAAGACAGCATAAATAACTCTCCCGTGAGTGAAGCCAGGTGACTGAGTCAAATGCAGCAGATAGAAACACATTCTCCTTTGCATTTATAAACACCGTTTTCTGACAATTGCATCCCTTTTGTCCACAACAACTTTGGTCAAAACATCCATTTTATTAATAAATGTTGAGGTAAATTGAGTAATTAATGGTTCTTCCTGCCTGGTTATTGAAATGATTGATTTAGAAAATAAGCCTTGGTTGAAAGACATAAGGTATATGGCAGTATTTGAATTTAAATGTCACTGTTCCTCCAGTAGCCTGAGTATTTCTTTTGCCTAAGAACACAGAAACTGCTCTCATTTTTTGGTCACAGAAGAATTATTCAGTCAGAACAGTTAGAAATAAAAACTTACTACCTTCCTTCTTCCTTTCATTAAATTCCCCTGCAGATTAAGAACTACCATTGCATCTTGTCTTTAGCTGTTTTATCCTCAAAAATACTGAGAAAAGTCTAGTAGATTATCGATGTTGAGCTGTTTGAAAGAGCTAGAAATACTGTTGTATTATCACAGCAGGAATTTCCAAAGTGATGAGTTCATCATAGGATAAACAGACATTCTCCTGGAAGGTAGGACAAAGGCTGTACCTGAAACTCAAAGCCAATGAATCCCAATATTGAACTGGTGCCAGGTCATGTTTTGCCAGACAAAGATATTAAAAATGTAATGCCAGTACTAACGAGAGATTTGGCACACAAAACATAAAGAATGTTACAGATTGTGCTGACAGTGTGACACTATGTTTTCCTGGATGTAATCTGGGTATCATGAGAGTAAGCTTGGAGCACTAATGAGAAGAATGATATTGAACTGGAAGAGCTGCTAAATATGCAGTAGCCACAGGGTTCCTGGAGTTAACTGGAACTAAAATGAAAACTGTAATACCAAAAGTAACAGAGGGTAAACTAGGCAGGAATACAGAAGGAAGAGAGTATCAGCAGGCGAAACTTGTTTCTGGTACCATGCTTGCCAGGACAACAAAGGGCGTTTCTAATCATACTCTTTTTATCCCTGAAGTAATGTTAAAGAGGAGCACGAAGCTCGGGCTTAAAGGGGGCACATATCATTTTAGGATATAAAAGAGTGTCACAACTGGCTGGAGAAAATGATGCCTAAAAGTTGAACAGAAAAACTCTTTATGTGCAAGAAGTAAAATACATGTTGAAGATGCAAAGGTCATCCTATCTCTTTGAGGGTCTTGGTTTTTTGTTGCTGCCATTGTTGATTTTTGTTGGCCTCCTATTTACATAATATACTATGAGCCTCAGATGAAATGCATATAAAATTGCTTTTTCTTTGACCATCCCTGTTGGAATGCTTGGCATCTGCACTACAGGTCTAGAAATTTACTATCCCTTGCAGGAGACATTCAGCCAACTAACTCTACCAGCCAACAAAATCTGTGACTGTGCTGGATGTTCACTTATTGAGGCACAAATCAGAAACACATTGCCATCAAGAAAGAACTGCCCTGTTACCATCATTGGAACTCTAAACAGAGTGCTATCTAATTTGTTAGCTCTTCAGCCTGCCAACGGATGTGCTCATTCCACAACTCTCAGTTGCTTCCAGTGTTGCCTTTGGTACCCTGGCTCCTGTTAAACTGCTAACATTTTAAATTACCAGGCTATTAACCACTTATTTGCTATATAACATTCACAACTGAAGTTATACTTAATTATTCCAGTCCTATCGAAGTGAAAGATATACAAGAAAACAGCAGACAAGCAGTTCTTTGGGAGTACGGTAACTGAGGGAATTTGGACACAATAACTCTGAAGTTCCATACTATGACTTTGCCCAAGCTGTCATTTATTTCCACTCTATTCCACGTTCACACTCTCCACAGGAATGCAGAGAGGAAGGTTTTGAGGTGGAGTAGACTTATTCCTTTTCCTTCCCCAGTACAATACAGTTTAATACTATCAATACTTGGAGATAACGCATAATTCAGTTTGGTTTGTATTAACATATAGCACAGGGGAAAAATGGTAAAGAAAATTTAAACCATGAAGAAAGAAGACTACTCTACACAAAGTCCTCCTCTGCTCTTTATCTGAGACAAGGAAACACAGTGAAGAAATCACAGAGTTGCTTATTTTTTTTCTTCCCCTTCAGTGTCAAGTATAAGGATGCCAAAAATAAAATGGCATGTGCTTCTGAATTCAGAACTATGTTCACTATGTCAAGCAGAAGTTCTTACTTTTAGTAACAGTTGAAAAACTGACTGCAAATATTTTTTTTTTTTTCCTTGAAGATTAAAATAGTGATATTTGACTAAACTAATACATTGCTGTTTGCCCATAACTGTGATGTTTTGGAAAACAGCGCTGGAAAAAAGTAAGTTACCATCTATAGCAACTACTACTATCTGTTTTTCCCTGCTATATTATATTTAAACCTATTTAATTCAGCCTTTAAAATAAGCACACAAAGGAGTAAATCTAACCTCCATTCAGTACAAGGATTAAACCCAGGAAATAATTTAATAAAACTGTACAAGGAAAACGACTTAACCATTGAGGACAATACAGCACTAATGCGTTTCATAACCAATGTCTTACCAACTGTAAGAGGGTCAGTGCACATGTCACTTCTGTTCTGCTTCCATGCCAGCAGGTACCTGAGGCTGATGGGATCTTCTGCTTCTATATGGCTGTTAAATGCCACCATCAGTTTATGAGCCTTCGCAATGCCACAATAAGTCCTTGTTTCATCCACTAAGGGCAAATTGTTTAAAGTTTTTGCTGTCTCAAAAGCCTGACTGAAATAATCAGAAGCTTCACTATAGTTCCCCTAGTAAAGAAAAGAAAAAAAAGAAAAGAATTGTAAAAACTACTTGTAGTCATCTGAATTTTATCTTGACATTAGAGCTTGCTCCTCTGGCACCTCAGAGATGTTGCAGCTGAGAGGCCAGCCCACAGAATGACTCATGGCATGGTATTAAGCAAATCACTCTCCCTTGCTGTTTCCTAACCTCTAAAATCCAGACAACACTGCTCATATCTTTCTCAGGAACTGAATTGATTTTTGGTTGTCTGCGTAGTATTTTAAACACACAAATCTAAGTATATCACTGCTAAGTATTAATATTGATTCCAGCCAGGCCTTTTAGAAATTACTGCTACTGTTTCATTAAGTTTAACATCTCTGGGGGGGGAAAGGTCCTCATTTACTATTGTGACACTAAGTTTTAGAAAAGAGATCTTAAAAATGGAGAAAAGAGAATAATGAAATGATGGACCAAAACCACAGAAAAGAACATAAATTAAAACTTACAGATTTATGAGGGAAGAAGGGGTATACCAAAACCCAGGGATATTCCTAATCACAAAAAGAGAAACAGTAGGAGAAATATAAGCCAACTGTTGCTAAATAGAAAACCCAAATAATTTATCTCTCTATCCTGCAGAATACAGAAATCCAACATTCATGAATACAGTAAAAAGGAATATAAACTACAGCAAATAATACATTTAGAGGAATTTTTAAAAGTATAAGAATTATTTTTTATGTGAGATATAAAACTCAATTTCTTGATCAAAGAGGAATTAAGAAAAAACTAGGGAAAATCATGATAGGCAGAAGGATACTGCTGAAAAGCTAAAATATTTCTTGGTATATATCTTCTTTACCATGAAGCTGGTTCGAGTTACCGTCAGAGATGGAGTCAAAAGAAGAGTTACAGAAGCAAGTTTCCAATTTAAGAAGTAGCATACCACCAGACATAAACAGAGCATAAAGAAAAGATTTGAAGAAATCTAAAAACAAAGAGATTGAATTTCTGATAAATAAATTACATCCCATTAAAACTAGGTAGCATAACCCAGGCTTGAAAGGTAGTAGTATATTCTGTGTTGGTATTATATGTGGCAGTGTGTAATAATTTTATGCTCTAGTAGCAGCATTATCTAATGTTTAATTATTATAGAAAAAGAATCCAATAACGATTTTGCCAAGATTGTCAAAAAAAGGTAAAAAATGAAGGTTTTTGCAAGGCTTTGAGGAATTTCAGAAGGACTTAATAATATTGAGTGGTTATGTGAGAGCAAATAAGGTAATTCATGCTGCCTGAACTATTTGTAACTTTTAGTGGGTTCTAATTAACTCAGGCTCAGCAAGGTGACCTTTAAATAACATGGGCAGCTATGCATTGGCTCCTCCTAAATACAAAACAGCTTTAATATCTAGTTAGGTCAAATAAAGTATTAGGATGCGTCAAGAATGCAGTGGAGAAAGCTAGAGTACAATCTACGTAAAGAAACAGTACATTAATAAAACTGGACTAAGTAAATATATGCCAAACAGCAAACATAAACCAGGAATAGAGTGGAAATTGTTACCGGTTACAATAGAAGAATAGGGATGAATTGCATTTAACTGAAGAGCAAGAAATTTAAAAATAACTACAGATAGCTTTCTCTTCTTAATGGATCGTTTATGATGACAATCTTGATCTCAAGCCTACTAAGAAGAAAGTTGGACATCCTTTTTTTAAAAGAAAAATTACACCATAAACAAGAGAAGGCAAAAAAGGGAGTAAGTCATTATGGAACTGTTCATCCTTTACCCTAAGGTTAGGAATTAAGGAATTAATTCTGGCTATTGTCAGAGCTAGACAACATTCCTGTGGCAGTTTCTATATGTCTATCATCATTAACCTGCCTGCTTCCTGGAAGACATCTTCCATTTCTTCCATTGGTGTGGAATTCTGCTGCCCTGATGGCACAAACTTCCTGACTGAAAACATTTTCAGAGCTGTCTTATCCTTTCACACTCAGCTTGATTTAGTAAGACTGAAATTCCCGTCTGTATAGAGTATAGAGATGAGGAGGAGAGACTCCAATTGATACCTGTTACGCTTGATACCACTTTTGGGGATCAAAATTTGAATAAGTGCCAAAATGTGCCTGTAACTAAAACAGGAGGAAAGAGTAATAGGAATTCAGGTAGCCTTTCGGCTTTGTTTAATACAGCAGGAGAGAAGAATCACGCCTATGAGGACACAGCAATGAATGAAGAATGATAAGCAGTGGGATAATAGATAAAAAGCAGAAACATATACCTACCATACTCTTGAGAACTATAATAGGGTAAATGATACAATTAGTGAGAGCAATGCATCAAATCAGACTAAGAAACTTGAGAAAAGTGAAATGAGAAATGACAGAGTATGTCATGAAACTCCATCAGAGTTTGCATGTTAAGTAAGCAACCTGCTTAACAAACTGTGAGAAATTAGACCCAACACTTGTGCATAACACAAACCCAGGCGTTTTAGGAAACAAGCATACGGGTAAAACAATCATGACTTGAGGGCAGGAACAGAGTGTACAGCATTAAGGAAATACATTGATGGTGATGGAATAGTGAGATGGCAGAACTGTAAGGATACAGCAACAGCATGGGCAGAGCAAAGTGAATTTGTTCAAAGTCACTTTGGGAAGAACAGTAAAAAGTTTACTAAAGGTCCCCAAGGATAGGTCTGGATATAAATAGAGATATCTTTAATTCGGTGAGAAGGACAGTACTACCACAAATTGTATCACTGGGGGAAGTACAGAGCTGAACAAAAATACCCTAATACTGACTTAGAGAATACTGGAGATGACAGCTGGCAACAAGTAGGCAGTGATCCAAGAGAGGAAATGTTAATTTAGACGCATTTTTAGTAACCATTGCTGACCTTGCAGAAAAAATGCTAAAGAAAATAGGGAATTGTAAAACTTTAATGTATTTTTCGTTTGGTATGTTTTAATCATATATTTTATGTAAGTTAATAAGGTTAAGTCATTGCATTTCCTCCCTTCTACACCACTACTCCAGTTCAAGGCAGCAAATTCTGAACTGAGAATTTAGAGAGTAACCAAAAAGAGGTTAATTCTTAAAATATCAGTTCTCATGAAACTGATTATTAGCAATGGTGGCAGAAATAGTGAACTACAGAGGTAGTTAAACAGAATTTAGTTAATTATTTTTAAGATTTGGAGTAGAAAAATTTAGCACAGTGTCACATCACCCTACTTTCTTCTAAGTTTCAGATCCATTTCAGCGTTACTTTAGCAAGTCCTCAAAGACTTTAAAATTTATTTTTCAATGGGAAATTTGGCATTTATGCTAAGAAAGTGTGTAAACAGAAAACTCTCACGTTAATTCAGAGATTACAGAGTGAGAAATTTTTCTACTGCTTATGAAACAAAAATGGGCCAGCAACTTTGGTAGTGGCAATTCTCTGTAAGCTAAATCTAGTGGGGAAAAAAAAAAAAAGGCTTTTGGGGGTAGTGTAAGTGAAAAGGGTCAAGTAGCTTGTTCAATATATTTCCCATAGAAAAGTATTTCTGACAAAAAAACAGGCAACAGAAGCTAGAAAGGGTGATTTTGAAAGGGTATTTCTATTTTGTTGATAATGAAAGTGTTTACTAATTTCTACATTGTCCAGTCTGTAGAAGGAATTCTTTTTATCACTTACTGTATGTGAGGAAGGAAGCAACCTTCGAAACTATGATGAAGGGAGTTTCTTAGTTACCTCTAGCTTCATGTTATCTGTCCCTACCTATCTATTGATTTAAACAGGCCAAACCAAAGCCATCAGGCTGGATGGAGGCATTTAGAATATAAAGCCCTTCCACTACCAACCCAGACCTTTGCCAAACTATTTGCTGCTAGCACACGTTACATAAATTTGGCTGAGAGAATGTAGAGAAGAAATCAAGCTAAGATTAAAAACTGCTTATTAGTATGCAATATAGTATACATTAATTTTAAAAAAGCATGAATTTCAGTGTATAGTACAATAAAATTTCATTTGCGTTAACTGATGACTCTTTATGGGCATCTGTGGCCCCAACAGTGATTTGGATGCAGATTTTTCCCAACACTGAAAGTTTGTCATGAATTGGATTTGGAAGTTTTATTCACTTATCCTAGAACAAAATCCCACGTATTAAATATGGTGTGAAATTTTCACCTTTCCCAAAAACTTAAGGCACATTTTATTTAGTCACGCAGTATCTCCTCCTTTGGTGATTCTTGTAAGATACAATACCTGGATCAAATCATTCTAGGTCATCTCATATGCACAACCAGATTTTTACCATGAATTAAACCCAATTGTTTGACATTATTACTACAACCAGTACTTACTCTTTCATTGTATATATTCCCAAGTAATACACATGCATCCACCAGGCTTTGGCTTAGATGAGCGTTCTCAGCAGCCTTCATAAACTCTCCCAAGTACTTAATAGTTTCAGCTGCTTTTCCCTGACTGAAGCAAAGGACAAGGACAAAATTAAATATGCACATAGATGGCTTCTTCAAATGCTGGAGATCTAGCCCCCTGTTCTGAAGTAATTTTACTTTGTGATGACTCATTCACGACTGGACTTTATTTCCAAAACTGTTGTCTGGGCACCACCTGTGCTGAGACCAATGAGACTAGTTCACGCAGAACCTCTGAGGGCAGAACTGGATCCTTCAAGTGAAATAAGATGAAATTCTGAAGAAGAATATCATGCCATATTTTAAGGCCAAGAATGAAAATGCAGGTAATGATTTTACAGGGATTTTGGAGTTTCTATTATTTTAATATTTTTTTCTGCTGAGCAGCTGACAAGATTTTCAATACAGCTGGACATCACATCCTGACAAAACAGAGGAAGGAGGTAAGAAGACTTTCAGTAGACTTTTTGTGCTCCTGTCATTCAGAGCTGCCATTTCTTGCTGTAGAACCTTGGTGGTGCAGCAGCAGCAGCTCTGCAACGGTGCTATCTTTTAGTTCTGGGAATGCCTGCCTTTCCCTGAGTGTAATACTGCACTTTGGCTGGGTGGATCAAAGGTTGGTGGGGTCACACAGGCAAACCTATAAACGGAGGATTGCAAGTGTCACCCCCAAATCCCAGGGAGATCAGAGCAAGCTGAGGTCACAGCTGAATCCAAGTTGAAAATTGGCTAATGTACTTTGACAATAACATTTGCAGATTTTCTTTTTTTAATAAAGCCGGTCATATTAACAATATAAGATCTCTGCAGTATGATTACAAGATATAAGACAGACATTTGAATTTGCTTGTGAGTAAGGCACTGCGCTTTTTTTCCCTTTAAGGCTGAGGTGCTACTGCAGCTGACCTCAATATTAGCCATGAACCTGAGTCACTAATGTAGGAGTGTAGCATGCTAAATGTCAAGCCACCAAGCAAGACAGGCATTCCAGTCTTAACTAAGAAACTCACAGAAACAGAAGTTCCTGAAAGTGATAAAGAATTGTGATTTATTTTCTCACCATTTAAAACCACCTTCAAGTTATATTCCTGCAGCAAATGACTGACTGCGATTTATTTACATTACAGTTTTTATTATAAACTATATTAGGGACACGTGCTTTCAAAATCTAGCAGAAGTCTGCAATTCCCTGTCTTATGCTGTAAGAGTAATCATGAAAGGGTAGAGCCTGCCTCAGAACAGGAAACACAGCAAAGCATGGCTGTAAATTTACAATATTGCACTGATTATCTGTATGTGACTGAGATGAGCTAGATTGCTACAAAAGGATGCTAAACCACTGCAAGCTAACATGCTTGAAATGTTCAGGTATATGCTATTGTAAAGCTTAGTTGTCAATAAGTAGAGTTGGATTTACTAAAGTTTCCTAATTTAAGTATTTTAACATCATGAGACTATTAAGTATACTATACTGTAAACATTTGCCAAATGTCAAAAGGCTTCTAAATTTTAGAATTAGAAACACATTTTTTTAAAACTATTTCTTTCTCTAAGAAGAGAAAATCAAATGTTTCCCCACAGAAATACAGCATATGATTTATATAAGTTAAAGGACAAGGTTAAAGTGTTAGACAAATATTAATTCCAGTTTTTCTAGTTTTCTATATGCAGTGCACAGGTGCAACTTGAAGAGCATATTATATGGTATAATCATTAAATCCATTCAACCAGACCTTTGAGAGTTAAAAACATATATTCTGAGGAAAAGGACTCCTCGGTCCAAGGAATGAGAATGAAACAGTGCAGAATATTTGTGTATCAAGGTGATTCCAGTTTCCAATTGGGAAAACAGGACTGTTAACACCCACATCCCCTGACAACTGTCCAATTATGTATATCACACTTGGCCTACTGTTTGCAGTAGAAGTAATCAATAAAGGATGTGGTTGAGTGAACATAGATTTTGGTTGAACCAATGCATGAAAACTTAATCATTTACTCAGAGTGGAGAAATCAAATAGAGCAGAGATGAAACAGCCACTAAGGGGTTTGTTGATTGTGCCACCAAGTTTGTGGGCTAGAGGTTGAAAGTAATAAAGCAAATGGAATCAGTGACAGGAGAAAATGTAAAAAGGTTTTCTTAATTTCATGAATTAATAGAAATGTTTTGATGTATTTTTGGCCATTTTTTATACTTCACATAAAAACCTATACTCCACATATAGAAAATATTAAAATTGCTAGGGCATATAACCTCTTTCAAGCAAACAGAAATCAATTTGATACATATCAGAAAGATATTTCTCACTGTTAGAACTTCACTTATGCCAACTAGCAATCAGTTGGTACCGTTTAACAATTTTTCAAAGGAAGTACTTTTAAAGGCACTATGGCTTGAGATATTTAAAGTATGCTAGAAGGATTACTGAAACACTTTATCCTGCACAAGACCTGATAACATGATAAACAGGTCTTTCCTACCCAAAGGGCTAATATTTTATAGTTCCTTCAAAAATCTACATGTTATTTTATACAGCCATATACTTTCTATCTCCTTAGACATCACCTTCCTAAATGCATAAAATGTAATTTCCTAAAGATGTAGTCATTCATGATCCCACAGAACAGTTATGATGACTTCAGCAGAAGAGATTACATATCTACAGCAACTCATTTTCCAGTTTCATGCTAAAATGCCCTATGAGATTTTTACCCCTATTAGACTTCTATGAAAATATGCACCTTTTATAGGATTGCTCATGTGATTGAATTGGATGTATAAATCATGTGTCCACAAGAAGTCATTACCATGGTGGACACTGGCAGAATAAGCCAGGCACATGATGCTATTATGTCAGGTTTTTCCCTGAAAATGACATGCCTAAATGCACATGATAGAGATTTTCAGTTTCCCATGGTCTGTGGAAACATCTGCAGCAAAGATTTCACAAAAAATTCCAAAGCCATAGACAAGTTCTGAGCAATTCGGGAAGGCTCAGCCACTTCCTCCGACCTGTTACAAGCAATCAATGCAAATTCTCACAGACATTATCGTTATAATATATTATTTTATGGAAACAGTCATCTTTTCTTTGTAAAGACATTATCCATCAAATTTATAACAATTTGCACAAGTCTAGTCTAGATCACATAAAAATACAAGTAAAGAAAAAGTGATCAAGCCGAGTATGGAGATTCTGTCACCATCAGTAATTACTCATGCATTTATCCAATATTTTCTGAACAGGCTTGCCAGAAATTTGCTTATTTTCTATACATCAGATAAATAAATATCCAAAAGTTTGGTGTGAGAGTAAACAGAAACTTACAATTTTTTTTTAATGTGTCTCTTTACATTGGCTTTTCAAACCATTTTTCTATGACCTTTCCTCCTCCAAGGAAGAACTAGTACAGCTGGACCAGCATGATTTTGTCAATGAAAAATTTGGTTACTGAATTTTGAAAAGTAGGTTTGTCTAAAATATTCATCATACTGGGTTACACAAAGTGTTCTATTAAAGAGCATTATATGGCAAAAGGGAATTTATCTAGAAGGACCGCTTAAGACAAAGATCACAGACTCACAGTATAGTTAAGGTTGGAAGGTACCTCTGGAGATAATCTCCATCCACCTTGCTCAAAGCAGGGTCAACTAGAGGAGGCCTGTGTCCAGTGGAGTTTTGAGTGACTTTTGAAAGATGCAGACTCCACAACCTGTCCCAGCATTCAACCTCACAGTAATTTTTTTTCTTCTAGTGTTTAAATGGAATCTCAATGTATTTCAGTTTGTGCCCACTGCCTCTTATCCCGTCACTGAACACCACTGAGAAGAGCCTGCTTGCCTCTTCTTTACTGATGCCGAAGAGGTACTGAAAAGATTCCCCCTGAGCCTTCTATTCTGTGGTCTCAACAGTCCCGGCTCCCTCAGCCTCTCCTCCTAGGACAGATGCTCTCAGTCCCTTAGTCATTTTTGCAGCCCTTTGCCAGACTTGCTCCACTATGTCTCTTGTACTGGAGGAGCCCAGAATGGGACACACCATTCCTGGGGTGACCTCATCAGTGCTGAGTAGAGGCAAAGGATCTCCTCCCTCAACCTGCTCACAACGCTCTGCCTAATGCAGCCCAGGATCCCATTGGTCGCCTTTGGCGTGAGCATGCATTAGATATCTCATGGGCAACTTGTTGTCCACCAGGAAACCCAGGTTCTTCTCTGCCAAGCTCCTTTCCACCCAGTCAGCCCACAGCCTGGGCTGGTGCCTGGGCTTATCCGACCCCAGGTGCAGGACTTTGCATTTCCCTTTCCTGAACTTCCTGATACTGCCATCAGCCCATTTCTCCAAGGTCCCTCTGAAGGGCAGCACAGCCACCTGCCTGCTGGATCAACCATTCCTCCTCGCTTTTGTGTTGCCGGCAAACACGCTGAGGGTGTGCTTGGCCACACCATCCGGGTCATTAATGACGATACTGATCAGCCTTGTTGCCAGTATCGATGCCTGAGTGCACCACTAGTGACTGGCTTCCCGGTGGACTTCATGCTGCTGCTTACAACCCTCTGAGCCCAGCAGCTCAGCTAGTTTTCAGTCTGCCCCACCGGTCATTTATCTAAGCCACATTTTATCAACTTCTGTATGAAAATGGTGTGTGAGACAGTGTCAGAAGCCTTGCTAAAACTGACAGAAACAACATCCACTGCTTTTCCTTCATCCACCAAGCCAGTTGTCTTATCCTAAAAAGCTACCAGGTAGGTGAAGCATGAATTCCCTGTCTTAAATCCATGCTGACTACTGATCGCTTTCTTGTTCTAGATAACAGCTGTATGAAGCTTTCTCCATGCGTGGATCCATTTAAAATTGGGAGAAATTAGGACAGCATTTGAACGTTCAGTGGATGAGGAATTGGTTGGAAGGTTGCATCCAAAGGTTAGTGGTCAATATCTAGATGGAGATCAGTGAGGAGTGATGACCCTTGAGGGTCTGTATTGGGACCAGTAGTGTTTAATATCTTCATCAATGACATAGACAGCAGGCTGAAGTGCACACTCAGCAAGTTTGCAGATGACACCCAGCAAAGTGGTGTGGTTGACATGCCTGAGGGACAGGATGCCATCGACAGGGATCTGGACAAGCTCAAGAAGTGGATCAATGTGAACCTCCTGAACTTGAACAAGGCCAAGTGCAAGGTCCTGCACCTGGGTCAGGGCCATCCCCAGAATCAGTACAGGATGAAGGCATTGAGAGCAGCTCAGCGGAAAAGGACTTGGGTGTACTGGTGGATGGAAAGCTGGACATGAGCTGGCAAAGTGCACTTGCAGCCCAGAAAGCCAATTCTGTCCTGGGCTGCATCAAAAGAAGCCTGACCAGAAGGTCAAGGGAGGTGATTCTGCCCCTTTACTCTGCTCTCATAGGATCCCACCTGGAGTACTGTGTTCAGCTCTGGTACAGGAAAGACATGGACATGTTGGAGCGGGTGCAGAGTAGACCCACAGAAATGATAAGAGAGAAGGAAGAGCTCTCCTGTGAAAAAAAGGCTAAAAGAGTTGGGGTTGTTCAGCCTGGAGAAGAGAAGGCTGTGGGGAGACCTTATTGCAGCCTTCTAGTACTTAAAGAGGGCTTATAAGATAGGTACAAACTTTTTCATAGAGCCTGTTGCAATAGGACAAAGGGTAATGGTTTTAAACTAAAAGCAGGTAGATTTACATTAAATATAAGAAAGACCTTTTTTACAGTGAGGGTGGTAAAACACTGGAACAGGTTGCCCAGCAATGTTGTAGATGCCCCATTCCTGGAAACATTCAAGGTCAGGCTGGATGGAGCTGTGAGCAGTCTGATCTAGTGGAAGGTGTCCCTGCTTATTGCAGGGGGGGTTGGAGCTAGATGATCTTTAAAGGTCCCTTCCAACCCAAACTATTCCATGGTTCTATGATTCATAGGTTCCCAGACTTTTCTACATAAAATTTTCTCAAATGGCTGAAAGGGGCTGAGATTCATCACGATATTTTACAGTGCTGAGCAGTTTATGCCTGTCACTTATCTAAAGCTTTTCAAAGCAGACACATATGTAAGGTTTAATTTGGTTAACACTCTCAGGTCATAACCATCAGATGGGTTTTATAAAAAGAACACACAGCAGCCATTTTCCAGAGGAAGCTTTTATGGTTGTTTCTTTGTCTGTGCAATAGATTAGCAGTTAAATCCCTGTTCCTAGACCTGACAGTGAGTTCCTCCTTCATTTAAATCAATTAGAATGTTCCTTTCCTAGGAACCTAGGGAGCCTTACTGCTCTAGTTTCCCCTCTCATTTCTCCTTACCTACTGGTTTTCCTCTTTTTCAAATTGCAACAACCAGAAACCAGTGTTTCCAGATAGCTAGAGAATGCTCCCAGAAGGTGTGGAGTACAGATTTGATGCAGAGGAAAATCACTAGCCACTCCTTCTTTAGCTCTTATTTTAAGAAAAGAATTAGCACTGGCATGGTCTTTCAGGTGAAGGATTTAGCAACCTGACTTCAAAAGGATCTCCAAATCTATAACTTCTGAGTAAATAATTGCTTGTGCTCTCATTCCAGAATGCCTAAATCACAGAGAGGAAAATAATATACGTGGTTTTCTAGGAACGTCCTCTTGGCTATCTCAGGCCACCCTCTATCCAGACTGCTGCTTTTTGTGAATACAAGGAACCCACGAATGCTACTGAGAGCTGCGACACCTTTGCACTCATTGCAAAGTCACTTGTAACAACTGGTGTCCTAGCAACTAAATCTTTCTCAGTTAGGCTTAAGATAGTTTTGAAAATGGGACCTGGTATTCTAAGTCTGTTCTGTGGCTTTTTGAACATTTTATCCCATGTGCTCATTTAGGATGCTCAGAATATGAGTAGCCATGAATTATGTATCACACACCTGAAGAGAACTGTGATTGTGGCTGGTCCCTATATGCTCTGAAAGGCCAAGAGACAAGGGTTCTAACTCTAACAGGAGAATCTCCTCTGCACACTGAAATAAAATTGGCAACAAGTCCTCCTCTATAAACAATTTGCCAACCTCTATCATGCATCATATGCATTGAAGTCCCCAAACATAGGATGAATCAAGGATAAGCTGTAACCTTCACTTTAATCTCTTATTTCCCCACTTCATGTTGTAATTGTGTTAGACTACTTTATGTCAAATTTAAGAAGTTGAAGTAGCTTCAAACTAATTTACCTGGAAGAACATTTTAATGCCAGATGCTGAAACAAAAATATTGAAGACAAGTATCTTATTTGCAACAAATTTATACCTAGTTTCACATGCACAAACCAGAAATGCCTCCACAGAAGTGAGTGCAATAAATGGAAACCTACAGTTCAGAAAAGATTACACTGAGACACCTACTGAAGCTTGCTACATTCCTCAAGTTTTTCTGTCTTCTTTAACCAGGAAAATATGCCTGGATTTCTATTTTCCAGTGAGGTCCCACCCAAACTTGTGAAAAAAAAAAAGAAAATTAAAAAAGCCCCCAAAAATGCGGGAAAATAAAGGACATATTATAGTTTACAGGTAAAGAAAAGCTTGGATCATACACTTTGAAAAATGTGTACCAGTTTAAAATAACTTTTGATGAAAGGGTCACTTACTGCAAGAAGGGCACTGCTTAAAATTTAAGCAGTCAGTAATGGGAAGCGACAGACCTCTAACAATTTAAGTCTTTCACAGCTGAATGAATCTGCACTGACAGTCAGACAAGGATGTGCTAACCTACCTTACCAGGATCTCGGCTATAAATGCATATGCTCTGCCTAGGCCAGCAGAATCAGAGAGTGCTGTGAAGATTTTTACAGAGGTATTCAAGATCTGTGAAAAAGGAAAACAAAACCCAATAAATACAATGCTAAGAATTTCCATTTTTCTTTTTTTTTTTTTTTTCTCCAGTCTCTGTGTCCATATGAAACACAAAATTAAAGTTTTCCCACTTGCACACTTCTTCTTTAATTAGCTGTAATGGGACTAGGTTTTTGATCATTACTTGTAGTTGATTGAAACTACTCAATAATTACAAATTAAACAGATACAACTTGCATTTAAATTTATGTATTTTGGCCCTTTCAAAAACCAAAGATGTACTACCCAATTCGCAATATAAATTCCTTATCCATAACCTAAAGGACATTAAGAGGCTGTGCTTTTAGGAATTTCTGATAATATCTTAAGATGGTATCTTTTGCATTCATAGTGTTTTAGAGTGATACGCTGAAATACAACTTAATATTATTTTTCTTTCTTTGAACTGTCACTATGACAACTTTTCTTAGTACAAATGCCCCCAAAGTGAATAAATTATAGGTTATACATTCCAACTATGTTGTCTTACAATACTGTAGATAATGTTGTTATTTTTATGACTAATTATTCATGCACACAAGCAATTTCTTAATGTTTATTTGGAATGCACTCTATTGTCATGAACCCTCACAAAACAGACGGCTTACAGCTGCTGCATAAAAACATATGATCTTAATTTAATTTAACACTGAGATCACCTGTATTGCATAATTTCTCTTTTCATCCATTTTTTTTTTCCAGTGGCGGTGATGGGAGAGTGCATATAAAATTAAATCCTATTCTTCCCTCCCTCCTCTTTGTTGCTTGACCCAACCTATTACACACATGAGAAAACAGGAAATCTCCACAGACTATCTATGGAAATCCTTTTTGCACATTTCCAAGAAAGGAGTAGTGAATGTCATTTACCAGCTCTGAAGGGGGATGGGAGATGCCCAGGGACATACGACAGTATCCTGCATGCCCCAAGATGCCTATTCGTACTGAGGTAAAAGATAGGGCATTTTCTGTTAAGACTGCATCCCCTGTCACTGGCAAAGTGCATGGTTCAAAAGAAGACAACCTGTGTGTGCTAATACTATGGATGTCACCTTTTATGCCACTGCTTCCACTACTTGGAATTCCTAGTCCTCGAAAAAGTTTTACAACATGCAGGAGTATGCCTGGACAAGGCTCTTATTTTTCAGTTATATAACCTCTATGTGCACAAAAAGTAGCTTTTATTAATGTGCACTGCACTATTTATCATCTCTCAAGTACTTTCTTATCAGTTATGTTCTCATGTACATCAGCATTGCATCCTGTACTTGAAGGTCAGTGTCAATTGAGTTATCAATGCATAAGATAAGATAAAAAGAGCATAAAGGCACATCAGTTAGGAAGTTGTCACATCAGTTCAGAACTCACCGTAAACCGAATGCGTACTCAAAGTTGTCAAGGCCTGCATGCATCCTTCTAATAATCCAGGATGGTAACAGAAATGCGTACGAGTGTCCAAGAAACAGTTCTTGGTTTTGCATTTAACTCAGAGGACCTACAACATTTGTTGTAATAATAGTGCCCATATCAGAAAATCTGACATAAGCGTGTCAGGGGGTTTCCAAAATTTTATATACTGGATTGAAATCACCTGCACTTTAAACCGGCCTCTACAATATTGAACTAGGACACAGGGCCTCTAGTGATTACTATATAGCATAGAAATGTCACTTAGGCACCTAAAGCATAGGCTACTGTACTTTTTTCTATCAAAGATATCAGAAAGCCAAAAGAGTACAGATAAAACCAAGGAAAAACCATAGACAGAGTAGCTAAAGTAAAAAGTTGGTTCACTGCATCTCTACAACAGCTGCCAGAAAGCAGTAAGTAAATAAATAAAGCCTCTCACTCATATTGATGAAAAGTACTCATTTTGGTCCCATTACTACTACTCTACACAAATTAGATGTTTCATTCTAAATAATGATGAAATAACAATAATTAAATCATCTACATGAAAGGGAGGTAATATTGACAAAGATTTTAATTTAAAATAAAAAATTACAAAGCTTGCGTGCTGGCAAATCAAGCAGAATGGATATAGTTATGTCTGCCAGAGTCTGTAAACAGCCTGAAAAGAACAAATGGACATGAAAACTTACCTGTTTATTTTCATGGGACATGAATAACCAGTCCATCTAACTGGGTTCCTATGAATACCATGTAAGAGAAGACATGCATATGGCAAGAGAGTATTGAGCAGGCATGACTGGGGGACTCTGACAGGTGGATAAATATTGGGAACACATATAATTTGGATTTAATGGAATTTATAGGCTCCCATGAAAGTTTTTCTACCTTTAGACAGAAGTATAGCCAGAAATGGGTCTTTTACATATATTTTGGTCAATCTATGCAAAGGACAGTGATATCGAAGGAAGAGGTAGAATACGTCAATAATTAATGCTGAAAACTCCTACAGAAATGTGCAGTTTTGCTGCATTTGTAGTGCTAGAGAATACAGCTGTCATTACACAAACAAAAAGGATGGGAAAATTGTTTTAGCCAACAGAACAAAAGACTTATTAAAGTAACATACTTCTGCTTTGGTATTCTACAATAAATATTGTGCATTAAAATGTCAGTTTGGTAATTTCCTTCATGTTAAGGAAGTGTACATAAAAATATATAACATTGTGTAAAGAGATATTGAATGGGACTACATAAGAATTTATACTGGTAATGTACATTAAAAAGAGTGGGTTTGGGGATTATTTGAATCTGGCTGAAGTTTCTTCTCAAAACTCTGACAAAGTTTTCAGAGATTTAAAGTTATTGACGGGGCAAAAAGCCTTTTTTTTTTCTTTTTTTTTTTTTTTTTATTTGCTATGTAACAATTGTTCTGAGGAAGGAAGCTGTTACAGTAGATTTATCCTGCTCATTCTACGCTCCATTATAAGATTTCCATACTGTTTCAAAGGAGTTTGATACTCCTAGCAACTAGTGGAAAAAGATCATCATATATGCAGTTACACAGATTAGAATAATGTACATTTCTTTCTACCTCTAAAAAGAAAATGTATGGTAAGTTTATCAAAATAAAAATTATAAAAACTGCACTGATTCTGGTCACAAATTAGTTTTTGGCTCTATGTGACCAAGCACTCTGACTGTCTCAAACTTCCTACTTCTGTGGATCCACAGTGGTAAAAAAAAAAAAAAAACAAAAAACAAAAACAAAATGAAAATCTAAGTCTAATACAGAAATGAACAGTGGGTTTCAATCATTCCTGCAGGATGTGGGAAGGTGGCAGAGTGAAGAATTCAACTTTGTCTTCCACATTATAGAAAACTTTCCCACATGCTACCCACTATTACTTTGGTGTACGCAGGGGAAAAAAACTACAAGAAAAAAAAAAGAAACACAAAACCAACCAACCAAAAAAGGGTAGCTTTTATGGCTCCAAAATAGGAATAAAAAATCAGGATGCATTGTATAAATTCCCTTGTTTTCTTGCTTAGCACGAAAAGCTAGATACAGGTGCACCTGGAAGGAGGACAGCTACTGTGGGAGCATCTACTTACAAAATCAACTCTCTTTCTGGGTCTTTGTAAAGTCTATTGTGGCTACAATTAGTTACAGTGTAAAAATAAAGTAACAAGTTCTGCTTAAATCCTCAAACTAGAGCCTGTAGCTGGTATAGCTCTTGCACTAATTCTCTGGATAGTGGCGAGTTTCATGTCTACCTGCTTTGCCAAGAAAAATATTAGTCATATCTCAGGTCCAGATTTGCTTCTCAGTTATCTCAGCATTATGACAGTATCACCCTCCCGGGGTTATTCCATTAATATAAAAGAGATACACCAGCTCCTCCTCCAGGACTGCCCCTCCCCAAAATACCACCCTTTATTTTTTATTGTTGTCACACCTGTACTTCTTTTATACGTACATAAAAACATGCACACATCTCATTGGCATACACTGAGGACTCAAACAAAAGGACATAGGCTGCGCTAAGCATTTATACATCTGGGGATAATGGACAAAAGAGTAAAAATCGAAGGTATGAATTTATGTTGAATAAAGAATGTCTATCCAACTCAACACAAGATTAATGCTTCTACCACTATTTCATTATTTTGGTAAAATACATTACTCTGACAAAAACACAATAGAACAATATTGATTTATAATACTGTAACTTTAAAAAACACAAACCCATAGTTCTGCTCTCAGCTTTGCACTTGATACTGTTGTCAAACTTTATTGAAAATACATTTATTTTGATTTCTGAAAATCTAGCTGTGTTTAGCCATTTCACAGCTGGTGAGCAGTAAAGATGCTTCTGCCTCATTTACAGATCTTGAACATGAATCAGACAATCAACTGGAACATTAGTCAAAGAGATCACTAGCTAATGATTTCTGACAGGCGCTGCAGTAACAGGCTAAGGCCCAGCCTGGCTAGAAGCATCTGACAATATTTTTCTGGAGTCGACAATAGGTGTTGGTAGACAGACAATGCAGCTGAGTGAGACTACCGGCCTCATACCATTTAGTACTTCTTAAATAGTTTCATAAAAAACACATAGCTCTGACAGTCACTAAATAATCACTTCCATACAGTCCAGTGAAAATAAAAGACAATAGAACTGCATGCATAGGCCTTTTGCAGTTCAGTGAACTCTCTCCCATAGCACCCGAAGAAAGGTGTATTTAAAAATGCCTAACGATTGCAGTCTTTATTACCAAAATTTGAGTGTTTACACGCCAGTGGCCATCCTGAATAAAGTCAAAGAGTTTTACAATACCAGCCCAGAGGTATTCTTATTTTGGCCAAAACACAGTGTGGGAGAGGTTGGACAGCAGTAAGAAAATTGTATTGTCCATGTAATACATTGATTACAACGTGCAGCTCATTGATCCCAGGAAAATAATACACCAATATCAACCGAATGGCAGGCTGCACCTTGCTAAATGCTAAATGTATTCAGGTATAGTGAGCATCCATGGTAGAAGCAGTACAGCATTCT